GAATTAATGGACACGTCCTCATCATAAGGTTCACAGTGATCGTAGGGGTCACTGGCTTCCATGGCAACTCTCTGGTAATGTACCTGCACACACATCAACTGAATTGATTCAATTCTTTTTTGGACAAACTGGATAATCTTGTTAATAATGCAGGGCCCAAAAGTGAAAAGTAGGAGCAAAAGAAGGATAGGACCAAGGAAGGATAGAATATAGGGCAACCACCCATGTAACTCAGTCCAAAGAAAATTGGCTTGTAATTCTTTTCGGCGTCTCTCGAGGTCTTCTTGAAGTTGCTTGACCTTATTTTGGACTATGCCGGAGTGGTTCACATAAAAGCAGCACTCTTCCTGTAAAAAGAGACATAAGCCTCCCTTCTCATCTTTGAGGAGATCAAGCCCCCTACGGTTCTGAGGGACTACTGTCGCGAGGGAATCCAATTGTGCTTGGAAGTCAAGAATTGTGCTGGCTACAGCTTGTATATCATCGATCATCTGTTGAGAAAGAGCTTTATAATAATGCAGAGAGGTTCCCAATCCTGCTGCCCCAGTGGCAGCTCTGGTGGCCACCTCAAGGCCTATAAGCAGGGGGATAACTTGGATGGCCCTTTTTGATCTACCTCCAATGTGGTCTAAAGCAGGAATAGGGAGGCTCTGATTATTAGGGACCACTCCAATGTCAGGGAAAATTACAGCTGGAGCACAAAGCCCCGTCCAGTCTGTCGGGAGAAAGCCAAACGGGTCTTCCCCACAAATGAAGACTGTTCCATTAGGGAGACAGAGAAAGGTATTGTGCACAGTAATATTTTGTTGACAAAAGGAATAGTGGATTCGGCCCACATCTGTCTCACTAGTATTATCAGAACTGGGGTCAGCTTTGAAGCATGGGCCTTTAGGGGAAAGAGGGTCTAGATAGACTCTAGAACTTGGGGGTAACAGCTGGCACTGGGGCTCGGTCTGTGACAGGTTAACAAGAAGAGCATTGGCTTGTAATGGTCCTGGCCTCAAGCACAGCCAGCAATCCTTAGCTAAATCGGGATTGGTTCTATTGAGTAAGGCAAAAGCAGGCTGTATGATTGATTGTGTCTCAGGATCAAGAAGCAATTCTCCCCTGATCTCCAGGAGGCTAAGAGGGTGGTAAATCGGGGGATTTTGATCTTCAATCAGCCTGTCTACCAGTTTTTTAATTGTGGTGCTATTGAGTCTGATCTTGGACTCCACCCCCATCAGAGGCACCTATAGGGGCAAATTTATTCCAGCAGACGTTCTCTGCCCTATTCTTTCGACAGTCAGCATATTCATCCTTGCTTTTTATCAGAGTTGCATACCAGTATGTTTTGTTCTGGTGAGTGCAGGGGATAACCTCTTAAAAGCATTGAGCATGAATGGAGGCAAGAAAAGTGGCGCAAGGACACTCAGAGGGGGATTTCCCTTGGGCAGGTGAAGATGTTTTGGGGCCTGGCCAACAATGGTGAGAGAGAACTCTCCCAGGGCATCCATTGTCTGTCCCTTGCATAAGTGTAACTGCCCGTTGCCCATTAGGGCAGGTTTTGGTAGAAGTATAACAGTGTGCGGGGGGAGGGGCCTTGGAATGAGCGCAGGCTGTGCAGGGGTCTCCGATGGTTTTTCGTATGTGTAGTATGGCTCTTGCTTGACCGGGATCTCCAAATCCTGTCCTAGCTAATGGGAGATTTATTGCCATTAACAGGAAGACCAGCATCATTGGGTTCATTGCAGACCCTGAAAGAGAGAAAGAAGAGAGATATCCTCAGGAGGCAGGGGGCCTTCTGGGCCATCATTGACATCAGTGAACTCTCCCTCCTTAGGGGGGTAATACTTGAGAACCCTTGCGGGGACCCAGATCGGCCTTTTTTCATTGGTTGGAAAGACACAGCCGAATCCCCTTCCAGCTGTAATGAGGGGGTCTGGGCCCCTCCATTCTCCAGTAAGGGGGTCCTTCCATTGGGCTCTAATCGTCCGATAAGTAAAGTTTGTTGTCCAGTGCTTTTGGAAGGGCGAGAAGTGTTCGCCTTTGGCAAAATTTAAAATATTTAGAGTAAATAATGCCATCTTTAGTTCATCATGGGGGGGGAGTGTTCCCCCTTTTTGTTTTGAAAGATTTACTAATAATGCAGGGACCATTATCAGTTTTGATTTGATCTGGCAGGCCAAGAAGGGCGAAGCACTGGAGAAAATGGCTTATGGCATGTTTAGATTTTTCTCCCATATGGGCTGTAGCCCAATAAGCATGGGAGAAGGTATCAACTGTTAGGAATATGTATTTTAGCTTCCCAAAAGGGGCAAAATGTGTGACATCAGTCTGCCAAAGGTTATTGGGCCTCAGGCCTTGAGGGTTCACTCCACCCTTTTGAAGCAGAGGAACTTGTAGAAAAGGCTGGCATGACTTACATGTCCTAATGATCTTTTTTAAGTCTCTGACGGGGACCTGAGGGAACTGATGGTGTAGTCCCCTCCAATTAGCGTGTGTAAGTTGATGAAAAGAGGTGGCTTCCTGTACTGTGTTGGCTGAAGCTAGTCAGTCTGCAAGAGCATTGCCCCTCGACAAAAAGCTTGGCAAGTCCTGATGTCCTCTTAAATGTTGTACAAAAAGGGGAACTAGTCTCTGTTTTAACAAATGGCAGGCTTGAATCATCAAAGGAGTGATGGGATTATTGTCAAGTCTGATGTGAGCGCCCACAAGGTTGGGCAGTAGATTGACAATGTAAAGGCTATCAGAAAACAGATTAAGAGGGCCTTGGATCTCAGACAGAGCTAAAACTACAGCATAAAGCTCTTTAAACTGGGCGGAGCCCTGTACCTCATGAAAGAGGGTTATGGCCGGAGGGCACTCACTTGTGCCCCCGGGGGAAACATTACCACAGAGGCTCCCCGCTTACCCCTGTCAGTAAAAACAGAGGGGAAAGAGGGGTCTGCCTCAGAGAGGTACATTTTAGGTGGCTGCCACGCCAACTGGCTAAAAGAACTCATCCACTTATAGGGACCATAGTGACAGTCCACTATCCCCAGAAAGCTTTCCATGGCCATTGCCAATCTGGAATTATTTCTCTGTAGCCACGAGAAATCACTGACCCAAAAAGGGACAATCAAAGAGTGGGGTTCACACCCAAAAAGACAAACAGAAAGATTTCATCCCTTGACAATGCAGTGGTCCATTTGATCCACTATAGAGTACACTCGGGGTGCCCCTCCCACAGATAGATGTATCCAATGTACGGGATTCCCCCTTCTGAGCCAAAAGGGCAGTGAGGAGGGTCTCTCCCGCCATAATATAGAGGACGAGTGGCAAGTTTGGATCATATCTTTTTTAAGGCAGCATTATCAATGGCATGTTGAACTTTTGTTAATGTATCTCTATGTATAGGGTTTAAAGTCACTGTTGAAGCTAGATCAAAGCCTTTTAATAGGTCGAAAAGAGGGATAAGATCAGCTGTGATTATAGGAATCCAGGGCCTCATCCAATTGATTTCTCCCAGCAATTTCTGGAGCTGTGGTAGTGTATATGCGTCCTGAATACATAACTGGGGCTTAACAGGGGAGACAACATCTAATGTCAAAGTAGTCCCCAAAATTTTAAAAGGAGCTATCTGTTGAACTTTATCTGGGGCAATTTGAAAGTTGTAGTTTTTGAGCAGGGAAAGGCACCTTTTAAAGAGGTCGTCTAATTTGTGGGAACAAGTGGCCCCCAAGATAATACCATCCATACGTATGTAAAAGAGTATGTCAGATTGTTCTCAGCTTGTTGCTGGCATTCCTCTTTATACAAAGCACACCACTTAATATAAAGGGGGACTGGGAGAACCGCCTGGGCAAGAGACCTCCAATCTGCGGTGGTGCATGGATGGTGAGCAAGTCCCTGGAGGATGGTCTCAGTCCAAGGAGCATTGGGGCCGTCCTCAAGAACGGCCTTCTTTAATTCCTTAAGGTCACCTGGCTCCCAATGGGGCAGGGCGGTTACCTCCAGGATTAACATTGACCGGAAATAGCTGACATGGCCCTGGGTTAGGTTGTGGGTGGAACAATGGATTCTCTTGGCGTTGGCAGCCAATGGGAGAGCATGAGTCCTTATATGGGAAAGGAGCTGGAACCTCTGCCCACTGGCAGCCAATAGGAGAGCATAAATCCTTATATGGGAGAGGAGTCAAAATCCCTGCTAGTTGGTATGGAGGAGGGGGGCTGATGATGATTTGAAAGGGTTAGAACAGGAACTATTACCAGGAAGTGGTGGGTACAAAGGAGCCGTGGATTTGGGAGGCCAGGGGGCAGCATCAAAAAGGTCGAGGGTGCCATTGCCACGATTCTCATTCGGCTCTTTATGGCTTTCTTGTCCTGCCAGCATGGACTCAGCCTGAGGAAGGGGATCAGAATCTTCCCGGGAAGGGGGCTCCTGACCCAGTGGTTTCCCTGTCTATTAAGTTCTTGGCAGCTGGCTTTGATGGCCGAGGAGGGAAGCAACTCTTAAGGGCTGCTAAAGTGGGGAAGGTCCCCAGAGGGGGGATATCACCCTGATTAACTTGGGCTTTGCATAGGAGTTGCTCCACCCTGTCCCAAGTTTCCCAGTCAAACAAATCACTTGCAGGCAGCCACGGAGCGACCTTAACTATGGTCTCCCAGGTTTTGATAGCTTGGCGGTCAGAGAACTCTAGGCCTCTACTTCAGAGGAGGACCCTAAGGGATTCACGAGAGGGATCAGGCTTGGAAGAAGAATGTTCCATATTTTATGGGATTACACTTATCCGTAGTCCGATTAGCTTGTCAGCGAAGTTCCTCATTCCTCACAAGGGGCACCAGTTGTTGCTCTTCAGCAACAAGAAGGCGGGGGGACAAGCAGGACCAGCCTGTTATCCCCGGGGCTGAGCGAGAGGGCAAGTGTCGGCAGCTTGGACACCCTCCCCTGTGATCCGGGGAAAACAAAACCACACCATACGGGGAGATGTGTCAGCCTCAAGGTCGCAGCAAAACTCAGCTTTATTCCATCAGAGGCTTAGTTATATAGGGGAAGATAAGGAAGTAACAGAAACCAATGGGAATTGATGATCTCATCTGTCACTAGGGTCTTTAGGCAGGTTTTGGGTTAGGGGGGGGAGGTGGAGTTAGGGCCAAGAGCACGGGTGCACGGGAAGCCAGTTAGGCCACGAACACGGAAGTAATGAGGGAGGATGGAAACCTCCAGTCTGCAGCTGTCACAGGCCTAAAAGAGGCAAAAGTTCCCAACATACGTATACACATACATATATGTGTGTGTGTGTGTGTATAATTTGGCTTTAAAAACTTTTCCCAAACTGTTGTCACATCTATTTTTGTACTTCCTCTGAACAATCCTCAACTGTTGTCACGTCTATTTTTGTACTTCCTCTGAACAATCCTCAGGTGAGGAAATGTTGATTATCCCAAAAACTGAGGTAGTATGATACTGGGGTTAGGAGCCCGAGTTTGGGAGTCTGGTATCTGGTCCGTTTTACTGGTCTGAGTAAACTGTGGATAATTCCTTCACGCATGTTTGATATGACTTCTAAAGCACATTAGGTATGAAATATGCTCAGCTAGTTGGAGGAAGCAGTACTAGATCCTGACTTCCAGCCTAAGACAAAGGTCAAGGCCCTTACTGTTTTGCTACCTTTCAGTAGACACAGGTAGGTGTATTCTACCATCTTACCATGTAGTAAGATCCATTGGGGAGCATATCATGTCCTCCAGGTTGGATGTGGCCATCCCAGCTGCGAGACACAAACTGTGAGGTAAAAGGCACCACTGACGCCAGATCCTTATTGATCTTAAAAGCTCAATGCCTCATGGATCAAAGGGAATTTCCTACCTACTCTACTGTTCCTGTAGAATATGTGGCTTTTCATATTGATGGCAAACTCTTTTCACATCTTGATGAGACATTTCTCAAGAAAGGACATGTCAATCGGGTTGTCAAATCCACTCTGTGGCAAGCTGTTTCTCCAAAACACAAGAGAATTTTAACATTAGATCTTCACTATAGAAGACACTGTAAAACTCAAGACAATAATTTCCCAGCTGTTACTAACATGGTTTATAATGCTGCCCTTGAGTGCATCCTTGACATTTTCTGGGCTGGAAAACAAAGACCTAGGGTCAGAGATAAGTTAGCTTATTTTAGATGGACTCCACCTAATTTTGATTGTCGACAAAGATGATATTAGTCTTGAAAACATATTTTAAGGATCCCCTATGGCAATATTAATCATACTTATTCAAGGTTTAAGTGTTATATAATTAAAAGCAATTTTCAGACTGAGTAATTTCCTAGTCTCCCTAGAAAGGTGGAAATAGGTTTCTCTTAACACCAAATTCTTAGATTATACCTGCACTTCAACCAGACCAATAAAAATATGAAGTGAATTAATTTAGAAGAGTTCTAGGAAGACATGTTGGCAAAAAATTAACAATGTGCTGGTAAGCACCCTTTTGATGTCCTGAAAAGTTTGGATAAAAGGAAAGGGAAAGGCTGATAAACATAGACGCAAAAATACTCAACAAAATATTAGCAAACAGAATTCAAAAATACATCAAGAGGATCATACACCATGATCAAGCAGGATTCATCTCAGGGACACAAGGATGGTACAACATGAAAAAATGCATCAACATCATCCACCACGTCAACAAAAAGGAGGACAAACACAACATGATCATCTCCATAGATGCTGAAAAAGCATTCAGCAAAATTCAACATCCATTCATGATAAAAACTCTCAACAAAATGGGTATAGAGGGCAAGTACCTCAACATAATAAAGGCCATAGATGACAAACCCACAGCCAACTTTATACTTAACAGTGAGAAGCTGAAAGCTATTCCCCTAAGATTGGGAACAAGACAAGGATGCCCACTCTCCCTGCTTTTATTCAACAGAGTACTGGAGGTCCTACCCACTGCTATCAGACAAAACAAAGAAATAAAAGGCATCCAGACAGGTCAGGAAGAAGTCAAACTGTCACTGTTTGCAGATGACATGACATTGTACATAAAAAACCCTAAAGAATCCACTCCAAAACTACAAGAACTAATATCTGAATCCAGCAAAGTAGCAGGATACAAAATTAATTCACAGAAATCTGTTGCATTCCTATACACTAATGATGAACCAGCACAAAGAGAAACCAGGAAAACAATTCCACTCACAGTTGCTTCAAAAAGAATAAAATACCAAGGAATAAACCTAACCAAGGAAATGAAAGACTTATACACTGAAAACTATAAGACACTCTTAAGAGAAATTAAAGAGGACACTAACAAATGGAAAGTCATCCCAAGCTCTTGGCTAGGAAGAATTAATATAGCCAAAATGGCAATCCTGCCAAAAGCAATGTACAGATTCAATGCAAACCCTATTAAAATACCAACAGCATTCTTCAAGAAATTGGAAAAAGTAGTTCTAAAATTCAAATGGAACCACAAAAGACCCTGAATAGCCAAAGCAATCCTAAGAAGGAAGAATGAAGCAGGGAGGATCTCGCTTCCAAACTTCAAGCTCTAGTACAAAGCCACAGTGATCAAGACAATTTGGTACTGGCACAAAAACAGACCCACACACCAGTTAAACAGAACAGAGAGTCCAGATATTAACCCAAGCATATATGGTCATTTAATATATACGATAAAGGAGCCATGGATATACAATGGTTCAGAAATGACAGTCTCTTCAACAGCTGGTGTTGGTAAAACTGGACAGCTACATGTAAGAGAATGAAACTGGATTACTGTCTAACCCCAGACACAAAAGTAAACTCAAAATGGATCAAAGACCTGAATGTAAGTCATGAAACCATTAAACTCTTAGGAAAAAAACAGGCAAAAATCTCTTGGACATAAACATGAGCAACTTATTCCTGAACAAATCTCGCTAGGCAAGGGAAACAAAAGCAAAAAAGAACAAGTGGAACTGTACCAAACTAAAAAGTTTCTGTACAGCAAAGGACACCCTCAGTAGAACAAAAAGGCATCCTACAGTATGGGAGAATATATTTATAAATAACATATCTGATAAAGGGTTGACATCCATAATATATAAAGAGCTCATGTACCTTAACAACAAAAAACCAAATAATCCAATTAAAAAATGGGCACAGGATCTGAACAGACACTTCTCCAAAGAAGAAATTCAGGCACATGAAAAGATGCTCTACATTGCTTATCATCAGAGAAATGCAAATTAAAACCACAATGAGATATCACCTTATACCAGTTAGAATGGCCACCATCCAAAAGACAAACAACAGCAAATATTGGCGAGGATGTGGAGAAAGGGGAACCCTCCTACACTGCTGGTGGTAATGTAAATTAGTTCAACCATTGTGGAAGGCAGTAGGGAGGTTCCTCAAGAAACTAAAAATAAATATACCATTTGACCCAGGAATCCCACTCCTAGGAATTTACTCTCAGAATGCAGCAGCCCAGTTTGAAAAAGACATATGCACCCCTATGTTTATTGCTGCACTACTGAAAATAGCTAAGAAATGGAAGCAACTGAAGTATCCATCAGTAGATGAATGGATAAAGAAGATGTGGTACATATACACAATGGAATATTATTCAGAAACAAATCCTACCATTTGCAACAACATGGATGGAGCTAGAGGGTATTATGCTCAGTGAAATAAGCCAGGTGGAGAAAGACAAGTATCAAATGATTTCACTCATCTGTGGAGTATAAGAACAAAGAAAAAACTGAAGGAACAAAACAGCAGCAGACTCACAGAACCCAAGACTGGACTAATAGTTACCAAAGAGAAAGGGATTGAGGAGGATGGGTCGGAAGGGAGGGATAAGGGGAAAAAAGGAACATTACAAGTAGCACACATAATGTAGGGGGTGGGCACGGGGAAGGCAGTATAACACAGAGAAGACAAGTAATGATTCTATAGCATCTTACTTCGCTGATGGACAGTGACTGTATGGGTTATGTGGTGGGGCCTTGATAATGGGAGGAGTCTGGTAACCATACTGTTGCTCATGTCATTGTACATTAATAATACCAACATAAAAAAAAAAGAAAGGGAAAGGGAAAGGATGATTAAAGATGGCGGAATGAGAGGTGAGACCAGAGCCTCCTCCCAAAACCACATATGATATGAAAATATAATTAATACAACTAATCCTGAAAAAGCAACAGAAAAGAAGGCTGTGCCAGACTGCATACACCTGGAGAAAAGAACAGACCTCATGGAACAGGGTAACGTACCAAAGCCTTGATCAGGTGGGACCCAAGCCCTTCCCCTACCACAGCTTACTGGCGGGAGGAAGAGAAACGGAGCAGGGATGGAGTGGAGGCCTGGGGCTGCTGAACACCTAACTCTGGAGATCTGCTCTGGGAGCACAAACCTACATTCCATGGCGCTCCAGTGATTAGTGAGGTGGGAAAGCTAAGACAGGTGAAATACCTTGAGAGACTGAGACTCCAGTCACTTGTGGAAAACAGGGATCCATATTGTGCTGCTCTGGGACAAAAGAAAGGCGGGCAGTCTGAGAGATTTTGTAACAGTGAGAGGCCTGCTAAAGGGGCAAGGACGGCACAGAGCTTACAGCTCAGGAGAAAAGACAGGTAAACAAAAATGTCCGGGAACATTCTGCCCAGCAGGTTGGGAACTTTCAGGAGCTTCAGGCGCTCCATCTCCCTGATGGCTATGCAGCTCCGTCCCCCACTGTGATAGCAGCATGCTGCACATCCTACCAGCCAGCCCGCACCTGGCTTGAAAACTGGCAGCCTCTGCCCTGCTGTCATGCCAGACAAAGGAAAGTTCTACCTACAGCAGCTACAAATGGAAAGAATAGAGGCTTACACCTTTGTGTTCAGCCCATTGGTTCTGGCAGTGGAGACAGACACAGCAGCTGAGAAGCAGGAAACAGCTCTTTCCTCCTACCACGAACCAGCACCGGTAACCTGTGACCCATGACATTGCTCCGGGGATGAGCAACTCCAGAGTAAACAGCTTCTGCGCATGAGGGCATCACATACAAATATGAAACAGCAAAGGAACCTGGTTCAAACCAAAATCCCACAAACACCACAAAAAGAGACAAATGAAACTGATCTCATCAATCTTCCTGAAAGAGATATCAAAATAAAAATCATAAACATGCACATGTAGGTACAGAAAAATATTCAAGAACTCAGGAACAAATTCAGGATGAAGATCCAATCATTATGGAATACAATGGAGGGATTTAAAAGTAGATTAGATACAGTGGAGCAGATGATAAATTAAATATAAATTATAGAGAAGAGTAATATAAAGAAGCTGAGGCACAGAGAGATAAAAGGTTCTCTAGGAATGGAAGAATATTGAGAGAAATGTGTGACCACTTGAAATGGAACAATATTCATATTATAAGGGTACCAGAAGAAGAGAGAGAAAAAAAGGATAGAAAGTGTCTTTGAGGAGGTAATTGCTCAAAACTTCCACAATTTGGGGAAGGAAATAGTTCCTCAGGCCATGGAAGTGCACAGATCTGCCAACACAAGGGATCCAAGGAAGACACCACCAAGACATATAATAATTAAAATGGCAAAGACCAAGGATAAGGACAGACTATTAAAAGGAACCAGAGAGAGAAAAAAGATTATATACAAAGGAAAACCATCAGTCTATGATCAAACTTCTCAGCAGAAACCTTACAGGCCAGAAGGGAGTGGCATGATATATTCAATGCAATGAAGCAGAAGGGCCTCCAAACAAGGTTACTTTACTTGGCAAGATTATCATTTAAATTTGAAGGAGGGATTAAACAATTTCCAAATAAGCAAAAGTTGAGAGAATTCACCTCCCATAAACCATCTCTACAGTGTATTTTGGAGGGACTGCTATAGATGGAAGTGTTCCTAAGATTGAATAGCTGTCATCAGAGGTAATAAAACCACAGTAAAGAAAGTAGAACAGCTAATTATTAAGCAAATACAAAATTAAATCAACTATCCCCAAAGTCAATCAAGGGAGAGACAAAGAGTACAGAATATGATACCTAATATATATAAAGAATAGAGGAGGAAGAAAATGGATAAGAAAAAAAAGAACCTTTAGATTGTGTTTGTAATAGCATATTCAGTGAGTTAAGTTAGACTCTTCGATAGTAAGGAAGTTAACCTTGAACCTTTGATAACCACAAATCTAAAGTCTGCAGTGGCAATTAGCACATACCTAGCAAGAATCACCCTAAATGTAAGTGGACTGAACGCACCAATCAAAAGACATAGAGTCACTGAATGGATAAAAAAACAAGACCCGCCTAGATGCTGCCTACAAGAGACTCACTTTAAACCCAAAGACATACACAGACTAAAAGTGAAGGGATGGAAAAAGATGTTTCATGCAAATAATAGGGAGAAAAAAGCAGGAGTTGTGGTACTTGTATCAGACAAAATAGACTTCAAAACAAAGAAAGTCACAAGAGACAAAGAAAGACATTACATAATGATAAAGGGGTCAATCCAACAAGAAGATAAAACCATTAAAAAAATACATGCACCCAACACAGGAGTATCTACATACATGAAACAAATATTAATAGAATTAAAAGGGGAAATAGA